TGTTTTTTTTTTTGAGTTGAATTAAAAACGTTATGAATTCCACCACTGTATATCCCATTGCTCAAGCCATATATGAGATTTATAGAGGGGACAATCTCTTTGGAAAATTGATTATTACATGTACTACTGCAGAATCATTACATTTCAAGCACAAGTATTATAAGGTTCATCACGAGTCCTGCTTATTGTACCCCACTTCAACCAAAATCAAATCAAATATATTCAGCCTAATTTAAATACTTACCTTCTTTTACTAGGTGCTCATAGATATCTTTATCTACTGTCAAATCTATGTCATTGTACTTTTCACCGCATTCAGATAGATAACTGTCTATGGAATCATATCTGGATTTATTGATTCTGTAACGGTTGTTCTTTAATGGCTATGTAATTTAAGAAGAAAAATATTTAGTACTTATAACCATTACTTAACAGATGCTGCACACTGAATAATTATGTCACTTCAAAAGAAATGGAAAATGTTTTCTTCAGTAATTTATGTCTACACTGAAGTGGAATAATTGCACTTTAAATACAAAATAGAAGTCATTGTCTCTGTAGAGTTCATTAAATCATTACCAGGTTAACCTTCTTACACAGTTTTGAATGTGTACAGATTTGATACAAGATTAATGTAAGCCTTCTGCTGCAAGTTTGCTTTTAACATTGTGAAAACACCATATTTAACTCATTTTTAAACATGCCTGCAGTTTAATTTTTAATACAAATTTTAGGAAAGTTATGAAAAATAAATCTAGTTATTAAGCTTTACAATGCACTCTACAAGTGGCTCTCTTCAATGTAACTCTTTGGCCAGGATCAGATAATTATTCCAGCCTTATAAGGCAATGCTGTATAAAATGTGTAACAAATGTCATAGTTCAGCACTTTTCCCTTGCATATCACATCAGTAGACTATTTTGAACTGCACTAAGCCCAGATTTCCCCATTAGCTCCAAACCAGGGAGCTTTGGTTTAATTTCCATTAAAAGCCATTCTCAGCACTGTAGTGATTAAGTTTGGGCACTTCTGTCTCAGCAAGTAAACTCAAAAATTCTAAGCATATTGAAACAATTGTAGGTAAGGACACACACTGCTCAGGTGATTTATATGCAAACCATATGATTATTTTAGATGCTCACATACCTCTAATCCCCTTTCCTCTCTTGTTCTGTCATCTACTGATGCAGATATTACTCCCCAACGGCAATCAATGTCCGTCACATAGCCTCTATAGAATGGAGCTGCAGCACTCAGTGCCATCTAAAAGAGTATCAATAAGGACACAATACATTCAGCTTGTTAATACACGTCTGTAAAAATCTAAAATACCTTTTGTTGTGAAACAAGGTACTATTTGCCTTATCAGAGACAGAAGACATATTGCATTCTCTTACAATAGCAGCAGCACCTGTTGCAAACATATTCCTTCTTCAGTCACTATTTCTTAATCTGTATGCACTATCTCATTATGTGTGCTTCCGGTGCATTGCCCAGCCATTTTCACCTGCTTTAATTTTGTTTTTAATTAGGTGCAATGTTGTGTTTCAATTAGTGTGGAAACCTCTCTTCCAAACCATGTGCTAAATTCAACACTTTTCTCAACTCTGACTATAATCCTCTTGTGCTGCTACACAAAAGATGTATATTTTGAGGGCAAATTGCTTCAAGATTAAGAAATTTCCATGAAAATTATCTATTGCATGTTAAGCTGTATGACTCAGTATGCAACAGATAATGTCCACAGAGATTTCTCAACTTGAGGCAATGTGCCTCCAGAAGTAAAATATTCTGTGTAGCAATACAACAGGATTTTCAACCACTGGATCAGTGGGGTTCACCTATGTGCTGACCTAACATGTCCCCTTCATCCAATGGGTCTATTCTAGGTGGGTAGATCCACCCATGTATTTACATAATGGCCAGTATCCTGTTTGATAGACCTGCCAGTGTAACAGGAATGACATCACTGGCAGCAACAAATTGTTGCTAACTACAGAGTTCCTGCTCTGATTTTGGTTTGCAATGAGATGAAGTTACACACACCCTGACATCAAAACAGGACTTCTTAATCAGTTGTATTCTGCCACTGCTGGCATTGTCATTCCTGTTGGGCTGGCAGAGCCATGGAACAAGACACTAGCCAATGCCAGATTTCTTTTGCCAGATTTCCTCTAGGAGCCATGGAACAAGACACTAGCCAATGCCTCTTTTGCCAAATTTCCTCCCTAATGCTGGTGCAGCTCTTGATAACAGCACTCAGTTCCTGGAAGCAACACATTAACTTTTTCCCTATTTTCTTGTCTAAATCATGTGTAAACAGAAATTATCTGCACACTGACAAAGTCTAAGATCTATAATCAATAGCTTTTACTTATAACAATTGTTTTAAATACAGTGGTGCCTCGCTAGACGATTACCTCGCAAAACGGCAAATTCGCTAGACAATGACTTTTTTGAGCAATGTTGCTCTTCACAAAATGATTGTTCCTATAGGCGATCTTCGCTGGACAATGTTTGGGTCCTTGCCTTGCAAGATGGTTGTGGGGTTTTTGGACCCCGTTTTGCAAGATGGTTCCCCCCCATTGAAACACATTAATTACATAAGACCTACTTTTCTATCCCAAGAAAGTGGGGGGGGGGAGTGAATAAATGTATATTTGGATGTCCCCAGAGGCCACCCCAAAACACTGAGGAGCTCTCTTGGCCTCTGGCAGGACTGGGGCTGTGCAGCCCTGTACTGAGTGGGAGGTGCAGCCAGGGGGTCACCATGCCTTGGGGGGGTCAGGGGACAGAGGGGGTAGGAGGTGCAAGGGCCACTCCAACTCATACCTTGCAGGGGAAATATCATGTCATAAATGTAGTTTTTTCCCCCCCATTGAAATCCATTGCACTTTGGGTGTGCTTATCCTTATGATTTCCCCAAATGTGGGGAACTCAACTGTATAAGTTATGTTAATGGGGGATTATGTTTGTGATTTCCCTCCTCTTTCTAAAATCCTTTTCATCTCTTTTTCCCTCATCAGGACCTACTGCAAAGGCAGCCAGTCCTGGTGATCTCTTGTACTAGTTTGTTTTCTCCCTCTTTTTCTCCCCAGTAGTAAAGGATCAGGGCAAAAGGAGTCACCATGATCAGGAGCCAGGGGGCTGCTTTGACTGCTTTCACCTTCTTTCTTTGCTGCTAGAGAGAGAAAGAGGGGGAAGGCCATCTGACATCCACTGCATTTCCAAAGGCAGTGCAAGGGAGGGGATTGCTTTTCCCCAATATGATACAGGGAACTATGTTTTGCAAGATGATGTTTTCTATGGACAGTTTTTGCACGATAGTGATTTTTTCCCCATTGGAATGCATTAAATAGATTTCAATGCATTCCTATGGGGAACTGCATTTCACAAGATGATGTTTTCGCAAGACTGTGATTTCCACAGAACGAATTAAAATCGTCTTGCGAGGCACCACTGTAATACTTTTTTATTAAGCTTTAGCTACTCTAAGCAAAGTCCTACGTGTTTTACACTAGTACTTTCTACAAACAGGTACAGTATATCTATAAATAATGTAATGTGTACTGGGATAAAGTTTGACTACTTACCACAATGGGACAAATTGTGGCTAGCTGATCATAAAGATATCTTGCTTCAGAAATGCTGCAAGCCTGGAATGTTACCTATAGGACAATACAAAATTCTTAACGATTAAAGAAAAGCTGCATGGTCACTGTCTTAAGCGTCTTCTCACCTGCAGAAAAAAAAATACTCTCCCAAAATGTATCTGCTCATTTTTCTTCTAGAAGTGGTAACCACTAGAACACACATAGACCTCATACAAGATCCATGTATCTTTTCTGACCATATATGTCATGCCTTCTCATGTATCTGATTTGAGGTTTCCTGTCTGGGTGGTAAGACAGGCACACTCTAAATGACTCCACAAGTCATTAGAAAGCATAAAACAACCTATCCAGATATACAGTATAAGCAACCCAGAACCTCTTGCCTGCTTCTCTCCCCACCCCTCAATACATTTCGTGCTGCATTGCTATGGTGCAGGACAATAGTTATAACTATAGTTTGCCACTTTCTTTGCTTTCCTAGCTCACCTATAACCATGAAATCCATTCTTCACGCTGAGCCTCACCCTCTGTGGCTGTATGTTTTCCTTTTATTCTCCTCTTTGTGCCTTCATGCTACTTCAAATAACCAAGAATTTCTTGCTCCTCTTTCTTTGGTAATGCCTTGTCTTCAAAACTTATTACACATATATTCAATCAATCCAATTTTTCCCTCAGATAGATATTTCCCAGCTTGATGGAATATACGCTTTTGTGCCCCATCCTACGACTTTTCTTTCCTTCCCTGTTTATGCCTTTCATTTGGATGAGACTGTTCATTATTGCTAATCTTATGTCACATCATCATCATCATCGTCATCTTAGAACTGTAGAGCTGGAAGGAACCCTATGGATCATCATGACCAGCCCCTGTGAAGGAGGTACAGTGGGGAATCAAACTCCCAACCTCCGGCTCTGCAACCAAATACCTAAACCAATGAAAAGAAAACCAACTATCACTATAGTTTTGATACGACTGAACAGAAGCACCATTCCTGGAAAGAAAAAGATAAGGATCATTTTGAGGACAGAAATGCAGGCAGTTTGGTTTTAATACATCAAATATGAAAGGATTTAGACATGCATGTGATAGCAGGGGGAATACTGGGCTGTTTGACAAAGTTTAAGTTTTGCCTAGAGGTGTTTGAGATAGATTAAAAAGCTGTGTCTACAAGAAAAGATAACCAAATTTCCCAATTTAAAGTTAGATTTTCTTTAGTACCCCAAAACAAATATAAGAATATACATCTCATCCTTCAAATACATTTATAGATTATCTTATGCTACCAATCAAAAGTACAATTAAAAGAACCATTATGGCTACACCCACACATTCACATGAATATAAGTCCTCTAAACCCAATGGGTACTTCTGAGTAGCTATGCATCACATATTCCAACATATGATAAAAAACGAATGCACTATGAACTAAAGGCAACAGGATGTAGAATATTTTCAAGGGATGATGGAGCAGTAAGAATTAAGACTGAAAGCCTTGCCAACAGTTTTCTGGGACCAAAATAGAAGTGTAAGGCAAACCTGCCTGGGAATAAAATATCATACAGTGGTACCTCGCAAGACAACCCAGCTAAATGATGAATCCGCATAGCGATGACTTTTTGTGATAGCTATAGTGATTTGCAAAATAGTCATTCCTATGGGGGATTTTCACTGGACGTTGATTAGGTCCATGCTTCGCGAACTGTTTGTTCGCAAGACGATGATTTTTTTCTGATCGTTGGCTTCGCAAAATGGCTGCCCTGTGTTTTCCGGACCCATGCTTTGCAGGGCAGTCATTTTTACAGCTGATTGGCGCTCACAAAATGGGTTCCCTATGGGCGACCTTCGCTGGACGACGAGGTATTTTCCCCATTGGAACGCACAAACCAATGCATTCCAGTGGGGAAAGTGTTTCTGCATGACGACAATTTTGCTAAACAGCGATTTTAATGGGATGGATTACCGTCATCATGCGGGGCACCACTGTAAATGGAGTAGCAGGGCTTTCCTGACAGCTGCCTGTCAGACTTGAGACTGTAGGGAAAACCTAATAAAAGCCTAATGTGATTAGTAACATATAGATAGGCACCTGTGAAGAAAGCCTTCAGAAAACATAACCCAGGTTAAATTATACTACTATAAATTATATTTATATAGATTTCTGTTTCCCTAATGTGAGGAAAGTGTCAGAATTTAAGATTCAGCATATTACAAACAAATAAGTTTCAATATAATAAGAAGAACTAGAAGGAAGGAATGTTAAGAGAAACACATACAAAATACTAAAAACTGTTATTACTGCTAATATTGTACAAAACTCCAAAAGATATTGGCGAAAATAATGTTTTCTACTTATTTCAGTGTATTTACCTGAAGACAGCAATTGCCCATTCCAAACCCCATGGCATCCATATATATATGATCAGGCTTGGCTGCTCTTGCTGCTTCTCCATCATCATTAGGGAATTTTTCTATAAATGGTGATGGAGTATTCTTGTCCTTGAATACTGCATGAAACATATTGATAATGTTAAATCATTTGTTAACCAGCTATATTTTCTTTTCGTAAAAAAATTTTTCCACTTACTTGGCACATTTATCACCACTTTTTCCCCCCTTCTGTGTCGAATGTTTCTTGTTAAAGTACTAAAATTAAAAAAAAACTTTTTTTAATATCTTCTGAAAACAAATATTCACACATTCATTAGTGGTTAATAGAATATTTTATATAAAATTCATTTAGGTTTTAAACTGTGTTTGCTTTCAGGAATTTCACACCACACGATACTTATGTTCCTACACAGCAATGCTGTAAAGTATTTGCAGTACCTTTTTGTTCAAATAATTCGCTGAAGCATAAATGTAATTCTGATCAAACCATCAATGGTGATCACTTACTTGTCTACACAGCAAGCTACAATTTACCTGCTGCACTAACCAGAATCAAACAGAAAGAAGTGGTATGACATATTTTTGTAACAAGAATGGCTTACTTTTACAACATAAATAATAGCACCAATAGGCAAGAATGACCGGACAGGACTTAGTCGACTATTAGCCATACCCAATTTAAAATGGGGAGAACCTTCTGAAGAGAGGAGTGGGCATAGAGAATGAGTCTAAATCACTTGTTCCTAGTGTAAACCAGCCTACAACAACTCTAGATACATCAGTAGCAGAATCTATACGAAAAAACAGATAAGATTTCTACACGTTACTTCTGAGCAAAGGAGACACACTCAGATAAAACCTAAAGATGAAGAAGCAAATAAAGATAAATGAATGTATAATTTATCAGCCATCATTTTCATAAGCCTGAAGTACTCTGATGAGCTCTGTAGTCCACTGAAAGAGAAAAATTATTCCACAACTATGTTACACTTCAAAGAAGGGACAGTTCTCTCCAACTCAAACATACCTAAATCGTGGATGTTTGTTGATAGCTTGATCAGGGAAGAACAGAGACTTGGAGGCTCCTGTCTCAACAGGGGTTGGCTCGCACTCTGGTATTGTAAATCCTGGACAACCTAATCTATAAATTCCAAGAGAGTCAAGATTATCTTTAACAGAACTGACAAATTCTCTTTAGTTAAGATGAAAGTTATTAGAAGCACATTAGGGGAAAAATGCATCTGTTGTTGAAGTATGAAACTAAATACAAAAAATGTTCTAAGGAGACAAAAGAACAGAACTTTGGGTCAACTTTTAAGTAGTTACAGGTGCTCTGTACTGCTGCACTGAATTTTCAAATCAGTTAATAGGGACCACTGATTTTAAGCTAGCCATGGTCCTGTCAAAGCCCTGCTTAATGGAAGTAGGGCACTGCTTCTTTTCTTTAAGCAGGAAAAAACTTTTGGTAGTAAGTCAAATATTCTTTGTTGCTCACTTTTTGATTCTCTGTATACACTGTTTAAATTAAGATGCACTTTCTACAGATCTTGTTTACACGGGAGATATTTTACTATCCTTTCAGATGCTGCACATTGTATTTAGGATCTTTAGCTATAAAGGTTAAAAAGCCATAAGAAGCATTCAACAAGGGCTGCAGGGCATATTTGTGGAAAAAAGTTGTTCATATAAAGTTTGAATAAAGTTAAACATTTTCATCCAGCTCCAAGGTTTGAGGAACACAGTGAAGTGGTTACAAAGCTCTTATATATACCAGCAGGTCTTTTCTTTTAGAAGAGTGATCTCCCAGCTCCAAGTGGTGTTTGTTAATATTGATTCATCCATGCTTATCTTAGAGCTCAGCTACATGTCATAATACTCCTGTTTTTGTGTCAGGTTTGGCATGCTTGAAAGTGAATTAAGCACACATAATTTTCAGACAGGATGTGGGTTTTCTTTTCTTTTTTGAAACAGGCACATGGGAGTTGCTTATTTTAAATTGATTCTGATTGTGCTTGGTTTATAATCCATTTTGGCATGTGTGATCTCTCGTGCCAGAGTAAATAGTGTCTGTGGGAGTCTGCAGTGTTTGTAGAATTTTGGTACAATGTGTTTTGGACTGCAAGATACCCTGCAGATTGAAGTCTTTATTCACCCATATCTATGTTTTAGCACTCCATCCATCTAGCACTATGCCACTTCATTTTATATATAAAGATTAGATATTTAAAAACATGATTTAGACCAGAGAGTATTCTTAAAGGAGATAGAAAATGGCTGTTAAGAGTGGTTTGGGGCTGTGTTGTAGGCTGCTGATGCTGGCTTTGCTGAATAAAAGCTGCAGAGTCCAGTGTCAGCTATCTCAATGTAGGTAAACTCTGTCTCAAGAAAGGTATGAGGTATGGTTGAGATGAAGAATTAAGTTGTCAGTAAGGAGGAAAAACTGGGAAAACCAGGGCTCAGAACACCAAAGTGCCAATATATAACACAGCTTACAACTGCACTGAAAGTTGTTCCATGAGGACACACACACTGATACAAAAACAATATGACATTAAATTGTTTTCAAAAAACCCAAACCAGCTCTAGATTTCATTATTAATTAGTAATGGCCTTACTTAGGTTTGGAAGACATCATGTTATGATGGCTCCATTCCATGGTAAATGGCCCATAACATGGACACTGCCCAGTCAAATAATACAAGGTTCTATAACATATAATAACATTTTAAAAGTACTACATGAAATAGTATGTGTGTGTTTGTGGGGATAATCCAGAGTTTTGGGTCCAAATCAATTTGCCCCAATCCTGAGCACATGACTGTGGGCAGTCGGGAGGTAGTTGAAAATGAACAAATTTAGACTTTATCTAGAGAAATCAAGAGGTGTTGTAAACAGGAAACCAAACCATTCTGGGTATGGTTTAATACTGTTCTTAGATGGATTGCATTACTGAAGGACCAAGTGTGCACTTTGGAAGTTCATAGAAATCATAAAAAGGTGAAGTTGGAAGGGGCCTATAAGGCCATCAAGTCCAACCCAATGCAGAAGTTCTTCCACATCATTGTGTACTAACTGGGGAGGGCTGAGGTTGTTATGGTGACCAGGATTGTTTTTACCAGCCTGGATTAGTACATCAGCTGCAGACCTGCCCTAGAGTCCAGGCCAGATGATACTACTCTCTCTTCCTGGAGTCACCTTGAGAGACTGTTAAAAATTTCACATGATGCAAACACAGCTGCCTGAAAAACTGATGAGGCATTCAGACCACATGACATCTATATACTGCACAAGCAATTTTGTCACTTATTTCCAGGCCCAAATTTATTAAGGGTTTAAGATCACGTTTCACCCATATCATTATGCATTTTATGAGTTATGGAAGCTTTTTCAACGTATTTCCTTTTAAGGGTAGAAAAACTACTGAATGCAAGGGAGAGGGTGTTTCCCCAATGTTCCCATGTCACTGGAACCAGTTACTACCTAGGGGCCTCATACTCCATCATTACAGAGCTTTTGAGAGCCTCTAAAGAACTTTTTTCTTTGGCCTTCTGATTTCATTTTCTTGGACAATTGTCTGCTGCATCTGTGAAATTTGACTACTTGTTCAGCTGTAATAACTGCTAGTGACCACTACTATGTATGTATGTATGTACATACGTATTCATTCATTCATATTACCTTCAGAAGAATTTTGCTTTTAAAGAGCAGTTTTAACACATTTAAATAAAAAAGTGTGAGAATGAAGAATAATTTGTCTCCCTGAACTGAGCAAGAATTATAGGTAGAAAGGAATTAGAGGTAGAAAGCTCTAACTATACACTGGAGCTCTTGTGTCTGTGCAAAATACCTATTAGATTAATTTCTTGTCTCTTTCTTTAGATTGTAACTAAATGGAAAAGACACTATGTAAGAGGCACCATAAGCTAAACCTCTGCAATCTCTAAGAAAATGCATGCATCATGGGTCTGAATCCAACAATGTAATTGTGCTAGTACAAGGCCCATTGCTCTGCCACAAATGAATTTGAGTTAGCCCAAGGGAGTGATTCCTTTTTTTCTACTGCATACCTGTTTGTGCAATGTGATTCGCATGACTATGCTGTCTAGTACTACTGCTTGCAGAACAATGAAATTCAGTGTGATTATGCCAGCTAAGTTTTTTCACTTTGCTTGAATCATATTAGATCTAGGCCATGGAACCCTCATTTAGCTCACGGCCATTTAAAAATGCTATTTTCTTAACACAGCTTGAAAGTAACCACCTAACCTTGGAAATGATGTGACAGTGCAAACAGCTTCATTTTTTTTCAGAACTGAAGCAGCTTCTTGACGTCGCTTTCTCATGTTGTCTTGTACAGTGTTAAATTCAGACATTGTTCCCCCATATGGCTGGCCGGGAGTCCCTTCAATCATATAACTTCCATACTCTGGCCTCCAAAGTGTTGGGTGACTGTGGACCAGACCAGATGGGCGGGATATAAATCGAATAAATTAAATAAAATAAAAAATAAATAAATATTTTCAACAACAGTAAAATCAGCATATAAATTATGATTGTCCATTTACTGTACATAAGCTGTAACTTCAAATCATTCCACTTAAAGGACATAAACTATATTATGTCCATCCTGAGGTAACAGCATTAAGAACTTCAGTAACACATTTCAAAGATACACACATACATTATTCTAAACATTTCTCATTATTATTCTCATTATTATTATAAACATTTATCATTATTCTAAACATTTGATCAGACCAAAGTGATCACGAATATGAAAATGTGCACTGATTTCTTCTGCCATCTCCACATCACGTCTGATATACAAAAAATAGTTTCTCAAATAAGCTAGGCAATCAAAATTCAGGAAATTACTATGCAATTCTAAGAGTACTCACTACTTACTTTGGGTTTGTCTTTTCACCTTTTTCTTGCAGGGTATGGAGAACATCTTCTCCAGTTAAGGACAATTGTGCTTTCTTATTTTTATGGTCAAAGACTACCAGCATGTATTCCACCTAATGTATGATACAAGAATGCAAGAAAATATTTAGCATACAGTGGTACCTCGACTTGAGAACATCCCTACATAAGAATGATTCGAGTTAAGAACGGCTCTGTTCGCAAAAAGTTGCTTTGACTTGAGAACAGAGCTTCGACTTAGGAACCAAAAAGAAGGGAAAAAACTTTCCTGCCCTTTTTTTGACCTAAGTTCACCTTAGGTCAAAAGGAAAACAAAATCACCCCCTAGTGGTAGATACGGATTAACTGGCTTTGCATTAGTTCCTATGGGAACTAATGCTTCAATTTAAAAACAGTGCCTCAACTTAAGAATGAAAAACAGCAGATACGGATTAAATGGTTTTCAATACATTCCTATGGGAAATGGTGCTTCGACTTAAGAACGTTTCAACTTAAGAACACAGTCCCAATTAACTTCTTAAGTCGAGGTACCACTGTTTTTGACTGTAAACCATAAAAACAGATACTGATTAGTTACATGCATATGGCACACTAGCCATAATTTGTAAAAGCCTTCAAGTAGAAATATTACAGTATATCCATTTACATTTTGATTTTCACATGTAAGATCACTCCAAATACAGTTCTCCAAAGTCCACAATGCACCAGTTGCCACTGAGGTTTTCCAGTGTCCTTAGAGTGTTTTTGACAAATGTTGAAAACCCAGCTGAATTGCTCTCCCAGGAAAATGTCCAATTTGTTCTATTGCTATCTCTCTGCATGTATATAATACAGAGCAACAATGAGAACTCTTAGACAGCGGCTTTTCTGTAGGTATGCTAGTCGGTCACATGATCCTACAGTACAGATCCAGGTGACAATCCCATTCATGACTCCTTTAAAAACAAACAGACAAGTGTATCAAAATTTTGGAGACATTTATGATGAACAGTGCCTGGTTATATAAAGTGAGGTGATTCTGTGGCCTGACCCTGCAAACCCACCCACAGATGCACTTCTTGGTGATTCTTTCTCTATTTGTAGGAGAAAAGCATACTCTTATACTCCGTTCTGTCATGTGGTCTCACATAGTTGAAGGTTGTTCAGTGCACACCACAAACCAGGAAGCAGGCTTTAGATTTATGACGGAGACTTAAATCTAGAGATTATAGTCATTTGTACATAGCTAAACATAAAAATGTGACAGATTAGAGAATAGAGACAACTTGTCTTCCAACCTTACACCACAGACAAGGGCAACAACATAAAAAAAGGAAACAGAGTTATGTTTACTATGTTTAACTATACCAATATACAACAGATGTCTGAATAGTAGAATTGATATGCATTCTTCGGTTTTATGTCAAATCTGATAATGCTACAAGGTGTTTTTCCTTTCTACTCATTAAAAAAGTAAAGTTTTTTTCTTATTTGATGCAGTCTTAACCATGTATATATACAGTATTCTGAACCAAATTCTGCTGAGTTTAGTAAATGTATTCACTGTACATGTGCTGTAAAGCCGCACCATGCAGAAATCTAAACACAGAAAAACAGTTTACTCAAATATTTAGAAAGTCTAATGCAGAGTACATTAACCTTTTAGAGAAAAACAAGCAAGGAATACCAGGAATATGTGATCAAAGCAATGTGTGTTATTTTTTGAGAAATCAAGCATTCCCTGAATTAAAAGAAAGCCCTGAAAAGTTAGAGAGAACATTTCTTATTCTTAGCTATATCTATAAAACGTGCTACTGTGAATTTGTTTTTCCTTTCTGCCAGTCAGTAACAGAGGACAAACAGAAAAACTCACAAAGCAATGGTGTAGATTTGTCCAAACTCTGGGCTAAATCCAATTATTAATCCCAACTATAGTACAGAATGGGACTTGCAGAGTCAGCACTTATATTAAGTCACATTGATTCAACAGGTCTACTCTAATTGAGAACAAATACTGAATCTAGTTCCTTTGTTCACTATCGCTGTTACAGGAGTGTGGAAGACTGACTTCTGCTTTAAACAATATTACTGTAACAAGTTTAGCATGTGCTACTGCATGCTTTCCAGTTAAACAAACTGTCCCTTCCAGGAAGACATCATCAAAATATACTGTAATGATTATCCAAGATGCCCCCTAACAACACTTCCAACCTCTACCCACAGTGGATTTTCTAACATAAAACTGAGCTTTACAAGTGAAACTACCTGAACAACTAGAGATATCAAGAAATTTCACCACTGTCAAAACTATCGTCGTCGTCTAGTCGTGTCCAACTCTTCGTGACCCCATGGACCAGAGCACGCCAGGCCCTCCTGTCTTCCACTGCCTCCCAGAGTTGTGTCAAATTCATGTTGGTTGCTTCGCAGACACTGTCCAGCCATCTCATCCTTGGTCGTCCCCTTCTCTTGCCGTCACACTTTCCTAACATCAAGGTTTTTTCCAAGGAGTCTTCTCTTCTCATGAGATGGCCAAAGTACTGGAGCCTCAGCTTCAGGATCTGTCCTTCCAGTGAGCACTCAGGGTTGATTTCCTTTAGAATTGATAGGTTTCTTCTCCTTGCAGTCCAGGGGACTCTCAAGAGCCTCCTCCAGCACCACAATTCAAAGGCATCAATTCTTCGGTGGTCTGCTTTCTTTATGGTCCAGCTCTCACTTCCATACATCACAACAGGAAAAACCATAGCTTTGACTATGTGGACTTTTGTTGGCAAGGTGATGTCTCTGCTTTCTAAGATGCTGTCAAGATTTGTCATCGCTTTCCTTCCAAGAAGCAGGCGTCCTTTAATTTCGTGGCTGCTGTCTCAATCTACAGTGATCATAGAGCCCAGGAAGATAAAATCTGACACTGCCTCCATATCTTCCCCTTCTATTTCCCAGGAGGTGATGGGACCAGTGGCCATGATCTTAGTTTTTTTTATGTTGAGTTTCAGACCGTTTTTTGCACTCTCCTCTTTCACCCTCATTACAAGGTTCTTTAATTCCTCCTCACTTTCTGCCATAAGAGTGGTATCATCTGCATATCGGAGGTTGTTGATATTTCTTCCGGCAATCTTAATTCCTCCAGTCCAGCCTTCCGCATGATGTATTCTGCATATAAGTTAAATAAGCAGGGAGACAATATACAGCCTTGTCGTACTCCTTTCCCAATTTTGAACCAATCAGTTGTTCCATATCCAGTTCTAACTGTTGCTTCTTGTCCCACATATAGGTTTCTCAGGAGATAGATAAGGTGGTCAGGCACTCCCTGACCAAAACTATAAGATAGACCAACTCAGCACAGCAAGAAAGCATATTGAGGATTCTCCAAACCAACAGATCTTGCCTCCAGCATGGAACTGAACCACCAGAAGGGCAAAAACTATCAATACTTTCACCATTTGTAGAAAATATACTTTGTACAAAACTCTTGTAGAACAAGCAGAAAAGGAGAGGTACACTAATCACAAAGACACAACCACCGATACAATACTCATATTTTTTTCATTTCATACAGCAAAGCAACAGCTATCATATTTTTCCATTTTGTGCATTTTCCAGAAATGTGCCACCAAAAACTCTTGAAAATGTACAATATCTTTCTGAGACCAGAAGAAAATAAAATGAATTTCACTACCTTGCAATGACAATTTTAAAAGACTACCTTCTTTTACTGAGAGAGGATGAACCAAATCTGGATTTACATTGCTATGGTCATCTCTTGCCTCATATATTGCTACTGACTGAACACACAAGTACATGTTGGTAAAGTTGTAAGCGAATTTTCAAATTCTCACAAAGCCAAAGCTGTGCATTGGAAATGAACCACTGACAAACAGAATTTTTCAGAATTTTTGTCAGTTGAAAAAGAAAGTGTGGCAAAATCTCCCATAATAAAAGCCTACTTAAATGCCATCACATTCAGCAGATTTAAAAACATAAGGCTAAAATTCTTAATGTGCATTTTTGAGGGCAACCCAGAGATCTTAGCAGTGCTTACTGCTGAGCTAAGAACCAAAGGGTTGAGCTACCCGAGAGTAAGCTGTTTTAGAATTCTTCCAGAAGATGGGCTTTCAGAAAAGCATCAGAGAATGATGCAAGAAAATGACAGAACAAGAGCTGAAGCTATCTGAAAGACCATGATCCTGTCCAGGTTTTAAAATCATTAGGGAAAGCCTTTCATTGTACTACCCCTACAGTACACCTGGGTAAGGACATAAGAGAGGGCCTTCTCTGTGGAACTCCCACAGGACAGGCTGGCTCCCTCTTTGCTTTCCTTTTGCAAATCTGCTTTTTCTTCAGGCAGGCTTTTTCTCAGTAAATGACTGCCTAAGAGGGCCCCCCTTTCAAACTTGATTTCTTTCAAAACAGTTTCTTAAGATCCATG